GAAGGGGGAGAAAACGACATGTCTACAGGCAGAGAAGGCAAATTAAAATCAGCTAGGTATGTTAGGTCCCACAAAAGAAATTAAGTAATGGGTAGAATTGTTTATGAAATAGTAGGAACCTGTAGCCCAAGACCTATCCTTATTTTTAAACTGCCACTGGTCAACCCCAACTGGTCCTACATCTTTTAGCCCTCACAACCATATTAATTAGCTAAAATGTGTATTAATTTGTACCCAGTGCAAATTGTTGGGAGTTGTTACTGTTATTGTTTTTAACCACACTCGGAAGAGCTCTGGAGTCCTCTTAGCAAGGGACTTCTTCCTTTCATGTGAATTTGTCTCTCTTCAAAGGAAAATTTTATGTTACTATGGAAGAACAATCCCAAATTGTGCCATGAGGAAGGGCACCACCAGTGAGTAACGATCACTCAGCACTGTCGATAATTGGGAAGGTCAGCAGCTGCCATTTATTTAGAGCTTTAAAGTTTGTAAAGTATTTAACATAAATATTATTTATTTGATGCTCCTAACAACCTTATGAGTCAGGTGCTATTATTATCTCCATTTTAGAGACGAGGAGACAAAGTCTCAGGGAGGAGGCTAAGTGACTTTGCTCCTGTTCAGTCATGTCCAGCTTTTTGTGATCCTGTTGGGGTTTGTTCATTTTTTTTGGCAAAGATACTGAAGTGGTTTGCCATTTCCTTCTCCAGATCATTTTACAGATGAAGAAACTAAGGCAAACAGGGTTAAGTGACTTGCCCAGGGTCACATAGCTAATAAGGGTCAAGTAGCAGGATTTGTACCCATCTCTCTTTTGAATTGAAGTCTGGTATCTTTTCTACTATACTGTACAACCTCTTTCCTTCTAGCCTTGGAAAAGACATAAACTAAAGTTATCCTTTCAGATACTATAGTATATAATCAAGAAATGGAGAAATGTGAACTCCAATAGAGAATGAACTGTGTATGTCTTCCGGCTTTCAAATCTGTTTAAAAAAAAAATCACCTCCTTCAGGAAGTTGGCCAAACCCATTACCCACTGACATTCCCAGGGCACATTTGCACATACTTGCACAACACTAATATGGCCTGGATTGGGAGTTGGAAGTTTAGGTTTCTACACTTAACTACATGCGTGAGCAAGGCTCTTAACCTCTGTGAGTCTGTCTCCTCATCTGTAAAAAAAACAATCATTTTGCTTATGCCATGGATCCCACAGGATTATTACAAAGAAATCACTTCAATAACATAAAGTATTATATAAATGTAAGCTATTAGCAAGGGAAGTGTAATATTTTCTTCACATAGTTTTGTCATAGTCCAAAAAAAAAAAACATTGTAAGAACCACAATTTATTACCCTTACTCCTCCATAGTGTCTGTACAGTGAGCATTCCTTAAATGGTTTGGGGTTTTTTGTTTGTTTTTTGTTGGCTGATGCTCTAGAAGTATAGGCCTTCAGCTCTATCGAATCTCATATCCCCAGCTGGATCAATCTGAACTACAGGCCTCCAAGAAGTCCATGGGGAAAGTGGGAAATGATGTGGGTACTGAACAGGTATCATTCTTTCTGCTAAGAAGAGACTGGAAGAGTGGCTCAGATAGGCAACATGTGCCAAACTGCAAAGCCAACCCCGTTGTTTCGGTCCTGCTCATTCCTGATGCTGATCTGCCATGACTGAACTGGTCACGCGGCCAACGGGACCTCATGCATCTGCAGCCTGCTTCAGACTGATGCTCAAGATATACTCTGGACAGTGTCTGCTGGAAGAGTCTTAGGAGCAGAAATCTATTACATATAATTCTTGAGGGCCTGGTGAGAAATTCAGAATTGATCACTGAATATGAATCTACTCAAAAGCTTCAGTGGCTTTGCTCATTTCTTCCCTGAGCTGTTTCAACATGTACTGTACATACATGTGGCGTCCCACCCCAACAAAGTACTTGAAAGTCACTTGTGTATGAAAATTCTAAATCAGACGAGTAGAGTTTTTCTTACAAAATACTTGTGAGATTGAAGATTTAAAAAACAGGCATAAAACACAATCTTACCACTGGGAAATAATAAATAGAATTCACAGTTGTGCACCACTTAATAAAATTTCATAAAGCAATTTTTCACAGCAAACCTTGTGAAAAAGGGCAAACATTATCCTTCCTGCTTTACATATGAGGAAATTGAGGCCCAAAAGAATTTAAATGACTAGTCTGAGTATTAGAATTTGGACTTGATGCTAGGTCTCATGGCTCCAAGACCTCTTGCCACTACACGATATGCAGTAACAATTACCTGAGGGCCAGAGTTGGCCCTAACATACCGTTAACATTATTTTTAGATGTCTCTTTTTTTCTGCCTAACTCTTTCCGTCTCATCTTGGCAGCTAAATGGCACAAATGAAAGATGCTGGATCTGGAGTTAGGAAAGATCTGAGTTCAAATCTGGATGTGGATATTTATTACCTGTGTGACCCTGGGCAAGTCATTTAACCTCTGCCTCAGTTTCCTCATCTGTAAAGTGGGGATAATAAGAGCACCCACCTCTTATCATTGTGAGGATAAAATGAGATAATATTTACAAAGGGTTTGCAGACCTTAAAATGCTAGCTAGGTAACAGTAGCAGCAGCAGTAATAGTACTAGTAGATGATTTATTTCATACAACCAGATATTTAAAATAATAAACCTAATACCTTGGAATTATATAATGCTTTTCTTTTAAAGAGCTCACAATACAATGAGTTCAAATGGTAATGAGAAATTGAACTGTTCACTCTTCTAGGACTGTAGACTAAAATCTCTTAAGTCCCTGATAAGAAGCTTGAATGTATTTGGCTCCATAGTGGGAGCTCCCCATGGCAAAACCAGAATGCTCTCTGAAGGGAAGCCAGAATGCTGTTGAAGCCTGGGAATAGACGGGAGCCCCAGCACAGCTTTTGGTAAACTTCTTGGTATCAGATGTGAGAAAAAGGCCAGCATTTGAAAGCTTCTGGACATAACCTTACATGATTTTTCTGGCTTTTATACTGGTAAATGAAACAAATGAAGTTTTAAGAAACAAACTTAAATCCATGTTAATGATAATTAAAAGAAGCATGCAGGCCAGTTCAGATTTAGAACTCAACATACTCTCTACCATACCCAAAAGAGAATTGGCCTTCCTCGCCAAAAGGACACGTTACATGCAAACTGCTCCTTTGTGCTCTGCATTCTCATGATGAGGTAGAGAAACAGAAAAAAGATGGAGAACTTGCCACTGTATTTTCCAAAGAACTAGAAATGAACAGGTCTTCCGCTTACAAATGAAAACAAAATAAAACTGGCCACTAAGGAAACCTCCCAAACCAGAGTTGATTTAGTGAACATATTAGGAGAGTGTAGTGGATGGGGAAGGGTACTAGATTGGAAGCCAGAAACCTTGACTTCAGCCCTAGCTATGCCACGTAGAGATAGCTGTGGAGCCCTGATCAAATCACTTCACTCTGAGCTTGAGGCCTCTTTTCAAGGCCTAGCTAAAATAAATGTATTTGATTCAGGAACCGAGGAGTTTAATTCATACAGTTTATGTATGAATAACCTCCTACAGGAAAGCCTTCCCCAATTTTTCTTAATTCTAGTGCCTTCCCTCTGTTGATTGTTTCCAATTTATCCTATATATTGCTTGTTCTAATATAGTTATTTCCACATTGTCTCCTCCATTCCACGACTCCATGGGTTACTCCACGCGGTTGTGAGCTGGTGGACAGCAAGGACTGTCTTAACTTTCTTCTATCCCTTGGGCTTAGCACAATGTTTGCACACCGTAGACACAACATATAGGTAAACTAATAGATACCAGGCATATTACCTTACCTCAAACTCAGTTTCTTCATTTGTAAAATAAGAATGATGATACTTGTGCAACCTAACTCATCAGGTTATTTTCAGGATAAAACTTTACAAAAACTATGTAAATAAGAACTATTATTTTAAAAGTCAATAAACAAATCAGGCATTTATTGGTGGCGCAGTGGATAGAGCACTGGGTTTGGAATCAGGAATATTCATCTTCACGAGTTCAAATGTGGCATGCCATACCCCCTACCTTTGTGACCCTGGGCAAATCAATTCATCCTGTTTGCCTCAGTTTCCTCATCTGTAAAAAACAAGCTGGAGAAGGAAATGGCAAACCACTCCAGCATCTTTGCCAAGAAAACCACAAATGGGTCAAGAAGAGTCAGACAGGGCTGAAATGGTTCAACGACAGTAACAATACCAAGCACTGAGGTAAGAGCTGGCGACACAAACAAAGAGGAAAAAAGCAGTATTTGTCAAGGAGCATGTAATCCAATAGGAGGATTTACCATGCAAGCAACTATGTGCAAACAACATGTATACAGGATAAATTGGAGATTTACAATGATCGCAGAAGGAAAATCCTAAGATTAGGAAGAACTGGGAAAGGGTTCTTGCAGAAGGTAGGACTTATAAAGTTATAAAACTTTATAAAAGAACCCTAAATTTGACTGGGATGTGTGTAGGGGAAGTTTATCTAAGACCCTTTTGGTAAGGGTCAAAGAGATTGATTTAAAAAGTGAATGAGAAGTGATTATTTCACACAACAGGATAGAGATCTGAAAGGAGTTTGAGCTAGTGCCAAGGTAAGCATGTGATTGAATGCATTCTCCAGCCTGTTTTGAGGAGCAGTTATATGGCACCGGGTCCCCAAAGCAACTGGCATACACTAGTCAAAAGTGTGGTCTGCCGGGGAGAATGAATGATGGCGAGCATGCCGTTTTCTGTGTTGTTTAAATTATGTCAGTGTATTTTTACTCAAACAAAACTAATCTAACAGCTGCTCTGTACTTTTGTTTACATGCTATGTGTCAAATCTTATTGTCCCTAAGGTACTCATGAGAGAAGATTTAGCAGTCATTTTCTTAAATACCGATGCCTATCCAAATTTGGATTTTTCCACCATTGAACAGAATGACAAGCCCACGATTGCTGTACTTAAAGCAATCTCTCACAGCTGCTTTGCTTTTTCAGTGATCCCATTAAATTGACGGCATATGCCTGTGGGGTCTACAGTGTTGTAATACTGAGGAGTGAGAGGCTGATTTGCACGATGCGATCGAACAGAATAGGGCTTCATTGGGGGAGAAAAATTTAATAGGCCATATTGTTTTTACCTGAGTAAAATTGAATTTCGGCACTGTGACCTTTACTGAACACCTGGTTATTTTAATTGCTCATATGTGGGTACACTTTGACACTCCATGGGTTACTAAGTATGAAATCCTCCAAAGCCCCCTTAAGTCTCTAATGGGCAGCAGGCGTCATGGCTTTCCTTAAAGTGAACCAAGTCTCTGCACATTAAATATGCTGGCGCATCTTCTGCTTGAGCAAGTGGACCGGAATGGTGTGAATTGTTAATGCCTTGCTGCTTTGGTTCACGGCTTGTGATTGATCATTTGTAACTATATCTACTCCTTGTTCCATGAAATCAAGTATGGAGTAATGGGTTCATCAGATTTGGGGGTTAAATTGAGAGTGAAGAGGTACTGTGTGTGGAAATAAGAGTTGCCATGTTCAGGGCCGGCCTTGTAACAGCATGGAATCTAAAGGCGATATTCAAAACCACTTCACTCATCATACGCTTACTGATTCTGAATAGGGTCCATTTGCAGGGGACATTTGGTACTTTTCCAATATGCTTTATGCCTCTTTCTACTTCCACCACCATGCACATCTTTTTTTCATACATCCCCAGTAGTATACTGGTAGAACAGGTCAGCGTACACAATTACTTTATTTAAGTAACTTGATTTATAAAAGTAGAAATAGGCTGAGACTTGATTGTACGATTCCTTTTCCCTCACCAGAATCAGCATGTGTACCTTTGAATACCCCAATGTTTTGTGGTCCTAAACGATTCGGCTCCTGAAATAAATGGCATTCAGTGCTGAAGCAGAGTGTTTAATATTATATTGGCCTGAAATCAACTTCCCAATGACCTAAGTGAAGAGTTGAAAAGAATCCATTCCACTAAACTTTATAAAGTAAATCTAAATCTCACTGTATCAGAGGGGATATACCCTAAACAGCCTTATTATTGTACTATTATTTTACAACATGTACTACCTAGATCTCAATAAAATAATTCAGTGGCAACTTGGAGCGATAACTTGTAATGGTTGGCTGAAATGTCTTCTGATCATGTATGACCTTAATACTGAGTTTCTTATAACAATGTTTAGGAAAGTCCTCACCCACTTGCTGCCATGTATTAACAGATGTTTATCTGTATCATCAACAAAACTTATAAACAAAATAAAATACCTCATGCATCTGTATGCTTAAGTTAACATCAAAGTGTTTTTCTGCCCCCTTCAAAAATTAGTTCACTTTTCTTTTAGTATGTCATATATCAATACAAATCCTTGAAACTAAGTTGGTCCTAGTTTGTTTGTTCTTTAAATAACTATGAATCTAGAACCTGGCACTTTCCTAATTCAGAAGGATATATTCAAGATAGACCAGATAATGTTTGTAAAGCTATCTGAGCTTCTCAAGAAAGGTATTAAATCAAGGTTTTACACATCTATACATACTTATATTTCTGAAATTTCCCTAAAAATACATTTAATGAAAAATGTATTTGAAAAGAAGACACTAAAAATCTTGAGTTATCTAGTGATTAAGATCTCTGTTTTTCTGTTTCTCTGTTGTTCTTAGACATGATGAACTATCCCTATATCGCTATTTAAAGAAGTATGGCTGAGGAGATTCCTTCTACCATTCTTTTTTTTTTTTCAGTTAGGCAATGGGGTTAAGTGACTTGCCCAGGGTCACATAGCTCCTAAGTGTCGAGTGTCTGAGGCTGGATTTGAACTCAGATCCTCCTGACTCCAGGGCCAAGGCTCTCTCCACTGCTCCACATAGCTGCCCCTTCCTTCTCCCATTCTTAAAGCTTTCCAGAGGCAGAAATCCCTCTCACCCCCACCACCAGTCACTTCTATATTACTTACAGAACTTTGTAAGGAACTCTCTATTCATGACAGATAACACCCCCAACACTGCTAATGCCCATTACCGTGCTTTCTCCACTACAAATCTGAAAGGAGGAATTGGTGGTAGAATATAGGGTGAAGAGATGGAGGAAAAGGGGGAATTGGGAATAAGTGTGCAAAGATTTGAAACTAAATAGACTTACTCCATGGGAAAAGTTGAGAGGGTAAAGACTAGAATCCAAAAGTTTTAAAGAAAATCATGAGCTATTTTTTTTATGAAGTAGAAATTATCCTTGAAATGTAAAGGGATAAACTCATTTTTTAAAAAAAGGGATAAACTCTAAAAAAAAATCTGCAGACAGATCAGACTTTGTAAAGAATATTTATAAGACAAAGTTGTATATTTAAACATTTAATAAATTACAGAAGCAACACCTTAAAAAAGGCTTTCAATTCATATTTACACAGTACATCACTATACAGTATTAATAAATCTCAAAGTCCACTTGGTAATCTTTGTCTATATATCAGCCTGCTAAGTCAGTAAAAACTTTAAAAGCCCAATAGCATTTGTGCTAATCTTGTTGTTGTTATGTAGTCATTTCAGTTGTGTCTGACTCTTTGTGACCCTATTTGGTGTGTTCTTGGCAAAGATACTGAAGTGGTTTGCCATTTCCTTCTCTCACTCATTTTACAGATGAGGAATCTGAGGCAAACATGGTTAAGTGACTTGCCCCAAAGTCACATAACTAGTAAGTGTCTGAAGCTGGATTTGAACTCAGGTCTTCCTGACTCAGGCCTGGTACTCTATCCACTGTCTCAATTAGCTGCCCCTGTGCTACTATGTGAGCACCAATTAAGCACTAAACTTTTAAAAAGACAGTAACACAGGCAGAGCCAAGATGGCACAGTAAAGCCAGGGACTCTGCTGAGTTTTTCCCCAAATCCCTCCAAATACTTTTAAATAATGACTCTAAGCAAATTCTAGAGTGGCAGAACCCACAAAAAGATGGAATGAAACAATTTTCTAGGCTAAGACAACTTAGAAGGTTGGCAAGAATGGTCTATTGCACTAGGGTGAGAGGGAAGCACAATCTAGCACAGGATGCACCAGTGCAGACCAGGCCTCAGCAAACCACGAATTCAAGGTGACTGAATCAGTGACAACAGGAGTATTCCAGATCTCTCAGCCCACAGATAGTAAGGGGATCAGACAATGTGTCAGAAGGAGATTTGCTGGCACCAAAGGCAGGACTCTGTTGCATTGCCTATACCTGGGTCTGAGTTACAGTCCTGGGTCTTAGTCCCAGTGCAAGGAGGAGTACTAGCACATCAGAGCTTGTGGCCACAGGGGAGCAGAGACCCTAGTCAAAATTTCAGGGTTGAAAAATGTGCTTGTGGTCGCTCACAAATCAGTACACAGTACAGGAGAGTATTAAACATATCTGTCCCTAGGTCATACCACCTTGGAAGAACCAAAAACTTGCAGGTCCCCAGAATTCCCTCTGAAAACAGCTGCACAAAAAACCTGAAGCTTGGGGCAATGCCCCCTCAACTTGGGAAGCAGAGCCCCACTTTAGCATACAATTAAAAGTCAAGAAATTGGCTGGAAAATGAGCAAACAACAGAAAAAAAAATTCTGACCATAGAAAGATACTATGGTGACAAGAAAGATCAAAACATATACTCAGAAAAAGATAGCAGAAGTCAAAGCTCCAAGATCCAAAGCCTCCAAGGAAAATATGAATTGGTCTCAGGCCATGGAAGAGTTCAAAAAGGATTTTGCAAATCAAGTAAGAGAAGTAGAGGAAAAATTGGGAAGAGAAATAAGAGTGATGCAAGAAAATCATGGGGAAAAAAAGTCAACAGCTTGGTAAAAGAGACAAAAAAAAATACTGAAGAAAATAACACCTTAAAAAACAGAATAGGCCAAATGGTAAAAGAGGCACAAAAGTCCAATGAAGAGAAGAATGTCTTGAAAAGCAGAATTGGCCAAATGGAAAAAGATATACAAAAATTCAGTGAAGAGAAGAACTCCTTAAATAGTAGAACTGGCCAAATGGAAAAGGAGGTACAAAAGCTCACTGAAGAAAAGAATTCCTCACAAGTTAGAAGTGGATGAGTGGAAGCTAATGACTTTATGAGACATCAAGAAACAATCAAACAAAATCAAAAGAATTAAAAAAATGGAAGAAAATGTGAAATATCTCCTTAGAAAAACAACTGAGCTGGAAAATACATTTAGGAGATATAATTTAAGAATTATTGGACTACCTGAAAGTCATGATAAAAAAAAAAGAGCCTAGACTCATCTTTCAAGAAATTATCAAGGAGAAAACAATTTTCCAGTTGCTTCTTGTCCCCAGTGTTTGAGTAATAGTACATTGTAATGTTATGTTGAAATATTTCTAGCTCAAAATTTTTTAAAAAGTGAAAGAGGATTATTTTCAACAAAGAATATGAATATTCATACATTCATTCAATAAGCATTTATCAAGTGTCTACTATGAACCTGAACTGTTCTAGGTACTAGTGATACAAGGAAAAGGAACAAAACAGCCTCTATTCTCAAGGAGTTACAATCTATTGGGACCCAGAACATAAATATACATACCTATGTAGCATCCAATGAAACTATTTAATATGGATATATTAATATTGCATATATATTACTATTCTTATGCATATATATTATGCATATGCTTCAAGTACTTAGGACATTCTAGTACTGATGCTTTAAAAAGGTATCTTGGTGTGTTGGGCAAAGTGCTAGTTTTCAAATCAGAAGTCATGGGTTCAAATTCTGGTTCTGCTTGTTTCCAGCTATGTGACCCTGGGAAGGTCACTTACTCAGAGCTCCCAGTTTCCTCATCTGTAAAACGGGGGAAATAATATAACACCACATACCTCACAGAGCTGTTGTGAAGAGAGTGCTTTCTTTGAAAAACTTTAGAGTGCTAGAGGAATGTGAGCTACTATTATTTGTAAGGGGAAAAATGTTATTAATCTTTCTTATAATTTTATAAATGAGCAGGATGTTGACTTTTTTTAATTCTTGTATCTAGTTTGAAATCATCTTGATATTTGTTTCACAATTCTGTATGCTAAATGAATATTCATATCAGGTATACAAATA